CGCGAGGGCGGGTTGGCCTCTGCGAGACTCGGGCGACCGGATCCTGACACCCCCTCCTCCCTCGAGGACGAGGAGGACGAGGAGGAGGCGGGACAGGACACATTCTACCCTGCTTTCGTTGCCTCCCTCCGCCTCTCGACAGCTACTGGATGGCGGCAGCAGCTGCTGCTTCCACCCAGCAGCGGGACGGAAGCAGCACCGCCGGATGGGAAGCAGCAGCGCGCCCTCGAGGGCAAGGAGGAAGGGGAGGAGGCGAGGCAGAGCGCCTCCTCCCTGCGTCTCCCATCTCCCCTCCACCACGGGCTGGTGTTCGAGCCACTCGCCACCCGTTTGGCTTCCACCTCTCTCTCTCTCTCTATCCCTCTCTCTAGGTCCTGTACCAAGGACCTGCGGCGGCCGCCGCCACCACCGCCGCCAGCTGCTTGGCCTCAGATGGCTGCGCTCGGCCTCAAGGCCTCGAGCCCGCCACTGGCTGCACGGGATGCAGCGGCGTGACCGTGCGGACCTTCCTCTTGCCACGTCGGTCCGCCACCCTCCTCCGTTCGTCGCCCCTCCTCGGCACGGCAGCTGCGCGCCGCGCTGGCGCGGCGTCGACGCCGACGGCGCCGATGCGTCGGCGATGCGGTGCGGCTCTCCGACCACGTCCGCTCGGACCCCATCGGCGAGGGCCTCCGCTGCAGAGTGCCTGGCGGCCGCATCAGGTGGCTCGGCGCCCTGGCCGATCTCCGCCCAGCTGCGGCAGGCTTTCGCCGCGCCAACGCGGCGGTGAACGCCGCCAGTGGCCCAGCAATCGGCCGATGTCGGATGGCCTGCCATGTCGAGAGGCCGCGGCAATGTTAGGTTGAACGATCCACGCGGTGCCAGAGACCAGCGCCAGCGTCGTCACGACGCGAGCCTCTCGTGCTCGCCTCGATTTCGAGGCTCGCTTTCTGCACAGGCCCAGCAAGCACGCCACCACCGACGTGGCGTCCCTCGGCCGTTCCACCACCGACCCGCCTTTCGTTTTTCGCGAGGGAAGAAAACACACAGACACAATGAATCTTCGATTCACCGGAAAATATAGGAAAATATGGGCACTGGGGGGAAGACGAAAACCCAGAAAGCATATGAAAAGATTGGGAATCCTGGGATTTGTGTGTATTTATTTGTGTGTCCCAGGGCCCCTTTCGTTTTTCGCACCACGCCAGCCGTGCTCGGAGAAATTATAGTGAAGGCTACCCGCCGAACGGACTTCTGGGATCGCCGCCGCGCGTTCTGGCGCAGTGCCCTCTTCCGCCGTCAGGGTGCCTTTGGAAAGTGTGGTGCGCGATCGCACTACAGACGACAGTTGCCCGAGAGCACTCACATAGTGGCAGTGCGCAGCATAACAGACGAAGTTGCCAGGGCAAGACCAAGCTGTACATAGCACCTAGTAGAGGACACAACTTCAAATAGCAACGATCCCTGGCGCAGGTGGGAGCATACAACGTCGGTCAGGTTGGGCAGAGGTATTTTCAGAATGAGGGCGCGCGCGATGCCGCAACGTGTGATTTGGCGTTGGCCGTTGGGCTTGTTGAATATGGCTATGGCTCGCGGGTGGCGATGCAGTGATGGGTTTCAGCTTTTGCGGGGCATTGGTGCGGGGGGTACCCCAGGCTATGTCTTGGCTGGTCTACGCATTCGAAAGCTCAGTTGCGTGCCTCCTCCATCCTTTCTAGCCTTGTAATTGTTTGCATGTGTTCTCTGCTTGGGGGGGGACAGGATTTGTCCTCCCCGCGTGGCGCTAGCAGAAGCAGTATGTCAAAACACACACACACACACACAAGAAAACATGGGTTTCAAACTTACGCGGTGTAGCTTAACTCAGCGGGCGAAACTTTGTATAATCGAGACCCCCCCCTCCATCGGAAACGCTTGTGTCGGGTGGCTGGAGATTTCACGCCCCGACGTGCCACTATAGTGGGATCAGTTTTCCTGCCGCCCCAGGGATGGCGTCCCTGATGGTGGGCAAGTTTATGGTATTATGATGTGTGTGTGTGTGTCCACTAATTGACGCCGTTATGGCGAGTATGTCAACATTGATATAGTTTTGGAACATGTCTTCCAGGGACAAAAAACGGACGTACGTGATGCCCTGACGCAGATATCGAAGAATCGAAGAACGGAGACACAGATATTGTCTATCGCAGTGGAGTTGGCATTAAGAGCAAACGCATAAAGAAAACGGTGAAATTGGCCTCCGAACGGAGACATGATGGCAAACTTTGGATATTGTTATAAGCTCAGCGCGGTAAGCAAGAGTTTTTGACAGGGTTTGCGTGTGTGCGTATACGTGTGCGTGCCGACTCGGCCGTTCCCACTGCATGTGCACGTACGGGGTTACGTATCGGTTGTTTCTACGTGATTGCAGCGTTCGCACAGCTTCGATCTAAGTTAGATCCAGTTGCCTTCTCACTTCTCACCCTGCTCGCCCTCCCCGCATATGGAACTCCTTCGGGGGCGTGCCCATCTTAGGGTACGCGTGCGCGCGGGTTGTACTCGTCCGCGCCCCTGCCCCTGATTCCACCTCTGCAGCCCGCCGCCGGTGCGGCTGAGCACCGAGTCGGTGCCGGGCGCGTCGCCCCTTGAGAGGAGGTGCGTGTATTGGTGTGTTGGTGTGCGTGTGTGTGGTCGCCGGGGCTCCTCCTCCTCTCTCGTGCATCGCGGCTCTAATTTGCGTACAAATCGTCCCCTGTTGCCCGTTCGCCTGAGCAGTCACCTTCTGCCCAGCCGCCGACGCAAAAAGTGTGTATGTGTGTGTGTGTGTGTGGTCATCACCTGGCTCTTCTGCCCTGTCACAGACTGCGCGCGGGCGGCTCTCAGGGACTCGCGGCTTTCCAACGTGGCGTCCAAAGGAGGCGAGTCACTGAGAGCGTAGCCCGCCATCGTCTTCCAGCCGCTGGCTGTTCAGAAAAAAAGTGCATCGGTGTGCGTGGAGTGTGGTCATTCGGGGCTCGGTTTGCCTGGATGCGGCCCCCTCTTACGGTGCTCCGCTCGTCTCTCGCGGTGTCAGTTCACGGCCGCTTCGCTTCCTCGGCGTGTCTCTCCCAGGCTTGCCTGGGCAGTCACCCCTCACTTCGCCTTGCCTATTTCTCCTCGCGCCCGCGTCCCCTTGGCATTCCACCGTTTGCGCACCTGTCGGTTATGGTTGCTCGCTCTCCGGCCGCTCCCTTGCACGAGCACTGCCCCCCCCACGGTCGACGCCTGCTCTTGCACACCCGAGACGGGTCTCCCCTCTCTCGCGCCGTTCCCTTGAGCGGACCAGTTTCACCTACAAGGCTGGGTGCCATCAGCGCGCGTGGATTTCTCACTGGTGCCGCCTCGCCGAGGGGGCAAAATGTGTGGTGTGTCGTGTGCTGCGTGAGCGGATGTTTGAGCGCGAGGCCAGCATGATGCGTGTTAGTCGGGCGGCAGTGTGTGCATGTCGTACGCATGTGCTCGTGCGCGTTTGTTACGCCATTCTGAGAAGTCGCGCTCGCGGTTGGGTGAGTAGGGCTCCCACGCGCCAGGGGCAGGGGACACATTGCGCATCGCCCAATTTGATGATTTTCATTCGAGGTCGCTCAGGTAGGGTCCGAGTAGATGGGGTCGGAGGATCGCGCCGCATCGGATGGCCTTCCCCCGCCGACGGCGCCGATACGTCGCCGACGTCGCCGATGCATCGGCGAGGTGTCGGCGGTGCGGCGCGATCTTATGACCCCATCTACTCGGATCCTTCTTGGGACGCATCAATCTGGGGCGTTCGCGAAAGGGTTTCTCCTTCGGCGCATCTCGCCTTCGGCAAAACCAGCGGAAAGTTGGCGACAGCCAGCGAAAGTAAAGCGGCGGCGGGCTCGCTGGCGGAAGACCGGCGTAAGGCAGCGGAAATACAGGGGAGACGTCCAATGTTTGGATCCAGGTTTTCAGAAATCGGCCACCTGAGTCGTCGACCCCCAATTGCCCATTCATCGCCGATCAGATGTACCTTGCCTAGACCCATCGCCGATCTACCGGCGATGTATCAACGATTCCAGATTGATGTTTCCCCCCCCGAGCCACCCCCCCTTCTTTCTCGGCGGTGCGCCCAGGGGGGAATGCAGTGGGGGCCAGCCTTTTTCAGAACGTGGCATGGCTTTTCAGAAACCATCGCGCCTTCAGAGAAACCGTCAGTGGCCTTGGAGAAGGCTCTGAAGGCTTTTTAGCGGGCGGGGAGATTCTTGGGAAGCCCCGCCACCTTTTGAGAACCTTGAGATCCGACCTTGCGAAAAAATGCAACGTCGCGAAACATCATTGCCGGATCCATCGGCCCAATATGTCTGCAGAATTTCTCGAGGCGAATCGATCGGTGATGCTCGCGGGGCTCGTCACTGGGGAAAAAAAGGCGATTCAAGAAAAACCGGGCGTTGCTAGAAGTGCCGTGGCCCAAGGCGCCCCGAGGTTCTCGCCATTTTGGAGTTCCCGGGGCACTCGAGTGGGGAGCGGCGGCCAAGTGGGCCGAGCACCCGGGTTCCATGCACACGCGCATGTTGACGAAGGTCCACAGGCCGCAGGCTGCCAGCGCTATGTGCACCCTCAGCGAAAGCCAGTTCGACGACATTGCAAGATTCGCTCTAGAGATCCAGTCGTTTTTCAGGCGGATGCAGGGCAATGCTGGAGTTTTCATGGAGCTCCTTGAATGGATTGGAGCATTTCTTCGTCGCGGTTTCAAGTTGTTCGTTGCTGATGATTTCCTCGGCACGATTGAGGCCATCCAGAAGGAGTCTCATCAGCAGCATTGGCAAGACCAATACGCCAGGAGCGCCAAGTTTAAGGAATGGGCGCATCAAGCGTTCATCGGCGGCGGATTGGGGCAAACCCATCGAGCCAACAAGATTGCAGGCTTGCAGGAGGTGGTCAGAGCGGCGGCGTGCGGAGAGCCTCATGTACTGGCCGAGCGTGAGCTATGCAGATGGAAGGATGTGTGGGGTTGCCATGGGCTTGAGCCGCTCCAGGTGTCGGAGGAC